CCTAACAATTGATTGTTAGTTTTTACATCATAAAATAATACACATATTTCCAATTACAAATATCACTAAATTTGTTCATTTTTGTACATATTATCCCAATCAAAACACTTTATTATTTATCCCACTTACAAATTTATATAAAATTATTTGTACCTTTTTAAATATAGAGTACAAAATAATGCACTTACTCCATATTATTATTTACCTACTCAACTCTACGTACATAGCTTAGGCATGTTTTAAAAAAACACTATTCGGATTCCTGAACCATGTTTAAAATGTAATCAGTACAAATATCAATAATTTATTTATTTATTTATTTATTTATTTATTTATTTTTGAGGGCCTCTATTTTTGTTCATATTTTTATTGAAATATTTGTGATTTCCTATTTGAAAAAAAAATGTAACTAAATAATGTAAAAAAACGTAAGAAATCATTAAAAAAACCTATTGAACTTGAGAGCCCATTCAACTTGAGATACCCCACTCAACTTAGTCAACCTACTCAACATACCTATGTTTTAAAAATAATTAAAACCACATTTCGGATTCATAGAATCCGTTTTTTAACTTTTCCTAGGTCTCCCAACTATACCTAAAACTTTCGGATTAGACAAACACGTTTCCCGTGTTTTCAGAAAACCTAAGAAAACTCTCGTATTTTGGACACTGATGCATTGCATTCCCGCTTTATGAGAAAACACCCCACCATATGAGTAGTTAAGAAACGAATGCTCATGATCTCCTCCATAGCAAGAATTGATCCACTAAATTATCTTGTATCGTCGTTATCTATTAGCGGACACGTCGCTCGAATATCTCGATATCAGGAAGATCGGACTTTCGATATAACGCACCAACAATAGATCAAATCACAAGACCTAACCAAGTACACAATGTTCTCACGAATCAATGGCGGACCCAAAACTTTTCTGAAGCGGGGGCACTCCCACATAGATGGAAATGGGTCCGATCGGGTCGAATCTGGTGTATCATTAACCTTTTTTGTCAAGTGCTTTCAGATTATTATTTTTAACTGGAAATAGACTATTCAATGCCGACTTCAAGCAATGAACATATATGGATTATAAGTCTAATTTTCAATTTTTTAAAACAATTCTAAACAATATATATGGGGCTTTTTGAAAGAAAGATATAATTTGAATCAGAAATGATTCATATTTGCACCGTTTCTGATTTTACAGTAGAATTCTTGTTATTTTCATACTATAAAATAATCAAGATTTCATATCTAAACTAGAATCATGTCGAATGTTAATTACCCATTGTGCCACAAAATTTGTTGGTACTTGTCTTGAATATAATACTATCGTGTCAAAAATGAAGTATAAATCATGTTTATGATTTCATTCTTTAATACAACTTTATTTAATAATATGATTAAATATATCTAACATTTATCATATTATAGATAAAAATTCAAAGAGTCTGTTGGTTTGAAAACAATTTATCGCGAATTGACACATATTTTCATGCATGAACTTTTATTCAAGATAAAAGTCTTCAATCTATTAAGTTCATCCTACATATTAGAACAGTTGTCATATCCTTTGACCTTTAGCTTTGGACAAACATTATTTACATTAAGTAAGAAAATCATCAATGCCACTTTTCAAAGAAAGTGTAGTAACCATATCAACAACATGTCTAACTATAAGGATTTGCTCCATCATAACTTTGTGGTTGTTTATTTTATACTACTACAAGACTTAGCATCTACAATGGTAATTTTAGTGACCATGATGGTGTTCAATCTATCAATATAGCGATATGCATAGTAACTATACTGATATTTAAGTCCGTTAGTTCTACTTGGGTAATATTTATGAAATAATCCTAGTCTTTTTACCAGGTAGTAGGGGCACAATTTTTATGTTTAAGTACTAATCTTAAATTTCGGGGTCGGAAGCGGGGGCACTTGCCCCCCTAGGTCCTCCACTGCTCACGATGATCTCCTCTCCACTAACACGTGATCTGCAATTCATTTTGTACTGTCATTGTTTACCAATGGAGCATGCCTCCTGATCACAATATCACAATATCAAGAAACATTCAATACAACATACCACTAACAGATCAAATAACGAGACCAGACCAGGAACCACCCACATTGTGCATCCCATCACTATGCTCCATGCCTCCATATATGTATGACCTGAGCTCTAAAGTGAAGTGCATAATCTCATCAAAGAGCATGATCTTGAATGCCTAGCTCTGATAGCACTGCTACCATCAGATCACGCACGGAAGACGAGATCCATCCCTACGATGAACTCTACTTGTTTCTCTACCTCCAACAACCTTGGCTGTGATACCACAAGCCCATATGACTCTTGTACCAAGCCCTCACAATACAAATACTCAATCTTACAATATCACTTTATATTATACAATTGAAATATACAAGAGAGATTTACAAGCAATCGAATAACTCACTTCACTCTTTGTATATGAGACGACTACCTCACTCTCACTTTACTCTCTCAGAAAGACTCTCACTCACTCCGGAGCTCTCCAAGGCTTTCATAGAAATGATTAGTCTCACCCCTATTAACACTACTCTCCTCGTGGCTTCTCTAGAACTTTCTATATAACACTACGCTTCTAGAGTCTTTCAAAAATTATCCACAAGCTTCTCTAATCTTCTGGAAGAATTTAGAGAACTCCACATTTCTTCAAAAAAATCTAGATGCTTCCACACACGCTACTAGAATTTTCCTTATTTGCTGTTACCCAATTGTTGCGGTTCTTAGTTAAAACACATCAATTAGGCAAAATTTATAAGTATTTGTTGTGGTTCTACACTTCTACTACGACCACATGTAACAGTTAGAAATTTTGATACTTTTTTGTTGCGGTCGTGTCAGAACCGTTTCAAATACCTATAATTTGTTATGTTTGTGATAATTAGTTGTAAACTATACAGTAACGATAAATTTTCTGTAAAACCGTGTTTTGTATCGTATTCATTATGTATTAATTTCGTGGTGTATGACTTAATTAGTCCTTTTGAAACTATGAACTTGGTTTGTTTTGATAAATGTGAAGTTATTTTGTAAGCAAGTTTCACTTTTATGCAAATATATGAGATTTCGTACATTTGAGTAGTATAAACAAACAATTTTTTTTTAATTTTATCTGATGCAGCCGTGAACTGCAGCAATTAGCAAACCACATTTTTCTAGAAGTGTTATTTGATGCGGTTGACAACCGCAACAATAAGTCATTTTTTCTCTTTTTTAAATTAGCTATTTGATGTTGTTTCGAACTGCAACAAATAGATTTTCCTACTATTTGCACCTCTGCCAACTGATGCGGTTCAGAACCGCAACAAATAGTAATTATTCCAGTAGTGACACTTCACACCGTTCTAAAGAATAATGTACTTCTCTAGAAAATACAACTTCAATGTTCTAGAATCTTCTACACTCTTCTACATGCTTATAGATAATTTCACGTCTCTCTAGTTAGAAAGCTCAAGAATGTTCTAGAACATTCATTATTTTTCTACACACATGCAGAGTGATCTAAACATCTCCACAGTATTTTAGAATTCTCAGGAACTTTTCAATTAAGGAGGAAACCCAACAAGTTTAAACATAAAATAATATTGATAGATTCCCTATAAATCGCTAGTGGTATTGCTTAGAGAGAGAGAGAGTTTGTAATTAATGAATTGTGAACTCTCTACAACTACCCCCAAGAGGGGTATTTATAGAGAAAATACAGGTTGGACTCCCAGGTGTTAGACTTAGGAGGTCCGATTACTTTAATGGGCTGTTGGCACGTGTTCCAATCCACCCATTATGGATATATGACGATCACTTCTAGTGATGGAACCGAGGGGCATGGGTGCACCTCAGAAGTGGTGCTAGAAATCCTGTGGGTGAGCTTCTAGTGGCCTGTGGCTGAGGGGCATGCCTCCGAGGTGCGGATGCTGAGGTGATGGCATGGACAGAAAGTCTGTCCTTATATTGTGGACTGGGCTCTTGTGATGGGCCTTCTGGAACTGGTGTAGATTTGGACCGCCTGTATGTCCAAGAGTATGTGGGTCATGGGTCCGAGCCCACATACTCTATCAAATATATCAAAGGTTGAATCAGTTGATTATTTTTGGTTTAAATATGTTTTTAGTTCCTGCAAATATAGTATATTTTGTTTTACATCCCTGCAAAATAATTTTTTTTTGTTTTACGTCCTTGCAATTGATACTAGTTTTCTTTTTAGTCCATCATTGATGATAACAAACTCCGCTTGACTTCAAAATAACCTTGACTAATAGATTTCCCCTAATTCTTTGTCATTATTAGAAAATTATTTTATTTTATTTTTTTGAAGACTTTTAATATATATATATATATATATATATTTTAAATGTAAATACTTAGTTTTACATTATTTTAACTCTCATATTAGCTTCAAAAAAATTATAAAAGAACAAATTTAAATATTTCTAGTAAATCTAGGCAACTGACAATAATTTTTTTCCTAAGTAGAGAGGTTTTGGAATTTTAGGACTAAAACCAAAATGGTGCATAATAGAGGGATGAAAAACTAAAAAGTTATTTTGTAGGGACCTAAAACAAAGTGTGTCATATTTGCAGGGACTAAAAACGTATTAAAGCCATTATTTATTTATGCAAAATGTTAATTATGCAAGTATATATGTAACCATAACTTTAAATTCATCATTCTAATTACCATAGGTATCTACTTTGATATGGTACGGAGTATGTAATTAAGGCCGGGCATAAGGAGCATATTTTAGGCAAAAGTATCATTGAACTCTGTAACGGAAGCGAAATTTCAGAAGTATCCCTGAACCCTAGAATGCAACCGGCCCTTTATGATCCACGATCAAGGATTCAAGGTGAAACCGGTCCATTTGAGAGAAGTAGGGGTTGCACGTATACTTGGCCACCACGCATATTTCTTTCCGTTTTTTTCATAATAACATCCCAAAATATAAAAACACTTGGCGAGCACGTCAAGAGCATTTATTGGTCGAATCATATCGGATCGTATCTCTATCAATAAAAGCCCATACCAGTAGCCTGTAAATTAGCAGCCGAGATTGGAAAGATCGGGAAACGAGAGAACGGAAGAATGAAGCAGATCTTCGTGAAAACTTTGACGGAGAAGACAATCGCTCTCGAGGTCGAAAATAGCTACACCATTGACAATGTCAAGGCTGAGATCCAAGAGAGGGAAGGTATATAAATACATATTGTGTTCTGATAAACTTTCCTCTTAAATAATTACTTCATCGATCTATTAATTTTTCGATGTCCGGATATCTTTCCTGAAGGTTGATTAATTTGTGGTTGATTTCTGATATGTTTTATCAGTTTTAGACATGTATTAGTGCGTGAATGATTGTTTATATGCAGGAATTCCATCTGAGCAGCAGCGGTTGATGTTTGCCGGCAAGCAACTTGAAGATGGAAGAACTGTGGCTGACTACAACATCCAGAAAGGTATTGTACTCCGTAATTGTTTAATTTGTTTAATTTTCTGCAAAATAATTATAGTAATAACCCTAATACTCAGTAGCTGTTCTCATTCATTCATTATCATAACAGTACTCCGTAATAATAATAAGTAGTAATAAAAATAATAATAATTAGGGTTAAATTATCATAATAGTACTCCGTAATAATAATAGTAATAATAATAGTAATAATAATAATAATAATAATAATAATAATAATAATAATAATAATAATGATAATGATAAGGCTTAAATGGTTATATAACTTAAATAAAGCCAAGTAACTTAAATGACACTCCCAAGGAGGAGGTCACAGGTTTGAATCCCATCCCAGTTCAAGGATGTTAGCATTAACATTGAGCAGATACTATATAGGTTAGAAAGAATTGTCCAAAAAAAAAAACTTAAATAAGTATGATAAGAAAAATTAATAACTTATATTATGCTGTTTTAATAAATATGATAAGAAAAATTAATAACTTATATTATGCTTTTTTAAGTGCATAACACTTTTGTGGCTAAAGTGAGACAACGTAATTATAGTTCAGTTATGCAACATAATTCTTCCTCTGAATAAGAGAATAAGAATAATAGAATAAGAAATTAAGAATAATAGAATAAGAATAAGAATAAAGTTTGAATCCATTATAACTCGTTTAATTCATACATATTAAACTCAGAATCAACGCTTCATCTGGCGCTGAGACTTGTGGGAGGGGGGCGTGGAACAATCAAGCTTGCTCCAGGAATAAGGGCTATAGCTCAAAAATACAATGAGCACAAGCAAATCTGCCGCAAGTATGTATTTTTCGATCAAAGCGCCTTATATTCTTAAATCTTAATCAGTTTGCTTTTGAGGGAACGTAACTTGAGCTGAGCTTGGTTGATTTCTACGGAGTAATATATTTGATGCATTATCCACCGTACATGGTTGGTTTCACAGGTGTTATTCCCGTCTTCCTCTGAAAGCCACAAACTGCAGGAAGAAGAAATGTGGTCACACCAATGAGGTAATTAATTATAGATACTTCGTGTGTATATATATACACACACACACACATACACACATAGTACTTATTGTACGTTTATATTGTATATATACTCGTTTATATTGTATATATATATACTCCGTATGTGCATAAATATGTATACATATACACAATTACAGAAATATGAAGTACTACCTCAGTACCTCCGATCCGTCCCACTATATTTGGGACAAAGGGGTGTGGCACAATTAAGAAAAAATGGAATTGTGCGTTTCATATTGAATTGATAATGTGTGAATAAAGTAAAATGTTTATGCAACATTAATATATATATATATATATATATATATAGATGGTCTATTTTTTTGGTAAATGATTGATGGTCTATTTTATCTACAGAAATATGCTTATATGAAAACGTTTACCATTGTATTCTCTAAATATATCGAGTATTACTTATTCATTTATATTTTACCCTTTAATAGGGTCACATAACAATTCCTATTTGTATATTTTGTTTATATTTAGTTTTGTTTAGACCAATTTCTTTATTATTATTATTATTATTAGGCTTTTTCGATCCAATTGTATCTCTAACGTACTATTTGTATTATATTGTTGCAGTTGAGGCCCAAGAAGCCATTTGACTCTAAGCTAAGCCACTAGACGAACCGAAGAACCAATACTATGCGTTTCGTGCTAGTTATTAGTTTACCTAATCGTTAAGTCTTATACGGAGTGTTATGGACTTTGGATGGTTTGGATGTTACTTTATTTGAAAACATGGATGCTCTTTGTTCGCAATGCAGTTTCGTTTGTCTTTTATTCGAGTGTGTAATATTTATATTCTCCATTCACCCATTTAACTCCGTTCGGGATTGTTTAATTTCTTACTCCATTTCATTCATTTTGTCGTTTGGTGTAGGGGCAATTCCATCAGCCGTTTGGTGTATACTTTTTCCGTTCTTTTTTAGTTGCAACGGTCAACATTTCACATTTGTCAATGCATGTGTTTGACCGTAATTATATCTTAATTTTTACTAGTAAAAATTATTAAAAAATCGGATTTTGAAACTTTGTAATGAGATGAATTGAACAATACTTGTTTAAAAAATAATTTTCATAAAATAATAGCGTAAAATTTAGTCAAAGTAGAGTCTGCGAATAGTGTAAAATTCAATATGTTGCGATTAAAAAGAAACGGAGGATAGTATTTAATTTAGACAAAGGGGGTGTTTGGTTAGAAATTAGTCAGCCATTTTTTTATTACATTTGACCTTTTGACCAGATCAAATTGCTAATTACAATTGGCTGAATGGGTTGATTTTGGTGAAATATATGATGTTCTGGTTGAAGTAATTATATTGACTAATTCTGCTAATTCATGATATAATTATATTTAAAATATTTTTTTATTAATAAATAGAATAAAAAATTATATGAAAAAATAGTTAAAATGATTCTCTACAGTAACTTCAGCCGATACAGCCAGAAAAGTAACCTCAGTCTTACTTTTTCTGCTTATTACATAACTAGTTTTCAAGCCCGTGCATGGCACGAGCAGTACATAATGTAACTAATTTTAAATCTGATTTTTCGGAATCATATATAATGTGATAGATACAACAACAAAACAAACTATGGGTTGTTAACTTTCCTTGGAAGTATGATTTAATCATTCAATAACAAAAAAAATTGACTTAATCATTAAGATGGAGAATAGTGGTGGAATAGATTTTCTGTCAATTTAATCATTAAGACGTTGTTTTTAAATTGGTTGTGGAATAGATTTATATGAAGTTTTTCATTGACACTATAATCTAAGAAGAATACTAAATTAATTATTTTACTTGATTCAAACTGTTTATAATAGAAAAAAGTAAACAATCCTCCAGTTTAATATAGAGTCTGTTTGATAACACTAAAATTGATCGAATTGATTAATTCTACTGAAATTGAAGTTTGGTCGAATGGTATGCATAATTATTTTTTAATTTTAATAGTGAGATATTACATTTTACTCATTATTTCGTCACATTGAAATTTTTTAAAAGTGTAGTATTTTAAATTTCAACTCTATTCTCAATTGGACAATTATGAGATGTCTAATCAAATACGGAGTAAAAAATGAAGTTGGGGAAGTCCATGGATTCCAAACGTATTCCACCTTCTATGCTCAATTCAAATGTTAGATCCACCCATGTAGAGAACTATAGCACATTTCTGGTGAGTGGGATTCTTTTCGCAGCCCATATTCTTACATTTCTATCAATTTCTAATTCTGATCTTCCTCCCCAATCTGACCGGTAATAAATGCCAGGGCTTTGTAGTATTTGATTGATCACAATTCTATATATTCCATTTACTATAAAACTTCCCAGGGAATTCATTATAGCATTATTTCAAATGCCATTGTATTTTTATTGATGGTAAATAGTTTTGAATAATAAAATTAAAGTAGATAGAAATATATATATATATATATATATATATATATATATATATATATCTAGTTTCTTTTAGTACATGAGTTCTTACAAATATTGTAATACGGAGTAACAAATAAACATGTTAATGATAAAGTATGATATGTACATAGTTTTTAATTATATATCAGTAAAATATTGTAGAAACTTAGTGTGATGACATTCTTGATATATGAACTCTAAACAATAGAACTCTCTCAACGAAGGAGAAACTCGATCAATAACTAAAATTTATAAAACTGAACATTGAAAACATACTTTAGTTTACATTCTATTCCTTTTTATAATTGTTCAACTCTATGATCATCAATATGTGAAGTGTATACATCCACAGATCCACTATACCGAATTTTTATGTTTCTAAATTCTGATTTTAGAAACAAAAAAAAAACTACTGATTTTAATGTTGAGCAGTTTTGAATTTAATATTGAAGATCCAATAATATAATGTTTGATTCCTTTGCTACGATCATCAACACTACAAGAATTCACGCGATTTAGTGGCGGAATATCCGTCGCTAATTCCGCCACAGAAACCCTTAGTGACGGAAATCACTGACGGATCGTCCGCCAGCAAATTCTCGAAGCAATTCTGTTTTATGGCGGATTTTCAAATCCGTCGGTGATTAGAAACGGACTACTGTGGCGGATGGATCTGCCAGCAATTTTAGTGACGGAATATCTGTCACTATTGACCGCTAGTATTTAATTTTTATTTTAAAAAAAATTAAAATATTCTTCATTTATTATTTCCTCTCAATTAAATGATTATTATTTATGTATGACTACCAAAAACAATTCAGATTAATTTATCAAATCAAAGCATGAAAAGATAAATTTGAACCATTTAATATAATTAAAATCAAATATTGCCCAAAAATAATACATTGTGTATTACAATAGCTTAGAGCTTACATTACTTAGATTCCAGGTTACTGTTAAAGCCCCAACCATGCTAAATCCAGAAAAGCATGCAAGTCAATATTAGTATCTAGTGTTCCATACTAAATCCAAAAAGTATACATATCACCACATTAATGTGGTTTAAAATGTTTAAGCCATTTCAAAATTAAAGCTATGCATCTAATTGGATAAAGCGTCTTCATGTGACTGGTGAGAGCCTTGAGAGGATAAATCTTGTTGTGGAAAGAAGTTTGGGGCGTCAATTCCATGTGATTTGAAGAACGGAAGCCATGTCTCTTCAAAACTCTTAGGTTGTAACTCTGGACTCTCATTTGTCAAACTTTCATCCACAAGAGGCATAAGCGGAAGAGCCTCGTGATCGTGCAAGCGTTTTGATGAAGATCTTTTATGATTTGACTCTAATTAGAGAAGAAACGCTTTGGAATACCTCCCCGTTCCCAAAACTCTTTTCTTATTGTACCCAACCACATCAAAATACTTCAAATGCAATTCAGACATTACTGCTTTTGATGCCCAAGAAATTTCAACTTCTTGTGATTGATGTTCACTTTCAACTTCATGGAATGCAGTAGACAGCTTGCTGATAACCTCCTGTTCAAACAAGATGATGCAAGTGACTCAAACATTTCATACTCTAATAAAAAAACATTATGTACAACGCATGGTCTGCTACACCTACTAAGATCATGAATCGTAAACATCAAAATCAGAAAAAAGAACTAAGATCATACACTACGAATTAAAAAAGAAAACAATGTCAATTTTTTTTTCAATAACGACACAAATGTTACAGAGCCAACCAATTAACCATGATGGTAATTTTTGTGTGTATGGACAGATGGACTATAATACTATATACAGAGCCAACATAGAGGAAGAATATTGCATTTATTCTGTTTTTCTAAATAAAGAAAAGACTCAAACACTCAACTGTTTCACTAATTTGGTATATTTGCATTACATATGTTTGAGTGTTACTTAATCACTTCAACAGCATATAAGCCGTATTACTCAAACACTTCAACAGCATATAATAAATCATCAAATTAATAAAGAAAACACTCAAACACTCAAATATAGGCACCCCAAGAAGCAATATGCTCATATAAGCATATAATTTATACCAGTATTCCAGTACTCTTTCACAGTTGCCTAGGGAAACACTCAAACATAGACGGAGTAAATAAAAAAGGCCTTTTCAAAATCAACATAAGCAAAAGGGGAATTATATTCACAGCCTCGATATTACTAAGTACGGCCTCCATATTACATTAAATATCTGATTTTCCCTTAATACAATACAAGACCAAGCGCCAATAGAAGTATATCGCTAAAAGCAAAAAAGTACTCCAAGCGCTAATCCTAGCAGCGGCCTCCACCCATCCTCAAGCTCCCAGTCTTATACGGAGTATATCAGTCCTAGCACCCTATTTTGATTTTACCCACCCCTTTCAGATTTTGGTAGCTTCACCATTATCCGTTTTAACCTTTCTGTCGGAAGTTTTTGAATCTAGGCACTGACACCATTCATGTTGATAGCGGTAAATATGGACTTTCAGTGAAAGGCTGAAAAATATTCAAGGTAAAAAGACAAGAGTTAATATGAAACAAATTAGATACGGAGTATGACAGTATATTAGTATTTGGATTTTTGTTAGAAACTTCTTCCAATATAAATATATAGTCGATGTAATCAATACCTTACATGAGTCTGAAATGTGCTCAACTCTTTTTTCGTTGGTCTGTAAACTATGGCGTTCTTGGATCAGATTGGGTATTATAAATTGATGAGGCTTTGTTTAGTAAAACTGTGATTGCATTTAGAATTCCCCTAAGCAAAAAGCATCACACTTCACTCCATTATTTAATTTAAGACAAGCAGAACTGCAGAAGCAATTGAAATTATAAAAAAGGCTTTTTAATTATAGCCAAAATTGAAATTTATCGGGCTATAAGGGAAAGCAATTAACTAGAAATTACAAACAAGAATTTATGAACACCCTATAGCCGGCTCTGATGCAGTCCTTTTAGTCATGGGTAAGACAGTCCCTGAGTCAGACTCCACGTGCAGACCAGTTATCATTCAATTAATTAGCTGCCTCTTATGCATTTACACACTCAATACACTGGCTAAAAACAGAAAACACTGCCCATATATACAAGGCAGTTGGTTTTTAGCTACTTAAATAATCAGCATTTTTTCAAACTACAATAACATTCATATATGAAGAATTCATTGCAAAATAGAGACCCAAGAAGCAGAAAATTAAATACATACCATAACTTTCGGTTGTGATGAATAATCAATTAGCTCTCCATTCTTCCTTTTGTTTGGATGGTAGTTCACACAAAGTTTCAAAGGATGCATATGCTCACAGGTAATCCTCAACTAAATCAAAATATGAAAACATCATTCAATGAAGCACCTAAAATGTGAGACATATATCAAAATAAATTTTAAACTCACCTCTAGGGCTGCCACATCAACCGAAGCTCGAGAACCCCCATATTGTTTGCACCTGTCCCCTCCGGCCCTCCGATTTTTCTTACCAAAAGCAGATGCGCTTAGAAACTGCGTAGACCTCTTATACTCTTCAACAGCAGCCCAAGTGAAGTCATTAACTGTTATAGGCCGTTTTTTCCTTCAAAGTGTAATAAGGATAACCATTATATTCCAAGTTAATTAAATAAATTGACAAGTAAAAATAAATATCATTCATTATGCTCACCTGATCTCACCCATGATATTGGAGTAAGCACGACTCTGTAAATAGGTTTCATAGCCTTCCTTAATGTCTTTTAGTTGGAACTCAACAACATTCCAAGTGACTACATCCTATATACAATCAAACCTTCAATATGTAAGAATTAAGTTGTATTATTTATTAGTTTGCACTTAGGATTCATTTTTATAAGAAGTATTAATTGTTTTAAAGAGTTCAGTCTATAAAGTCCATATTAGTTTAAAGAATTCAGTTTATAGACCATAATAGTTTAAAGAATTCAGTTTATAAAGTCCTTATTACTCACACATACCTGGAATTGTTCCCAGTATAATTGTTTAGTTTTATCAGGGACCCATTTCCATTGTTGTCCAGCTGGATGAAGATTATACTTGATCTGTTTTGAGACTATTCCTTGAAAATTCAGACTTGTGGTGGTAACGGGTATGTTGATTAGGCTGCATACAAAGTATACATTATTAATTAGTGATTGTATAGTAACATTAAAGACTAATGTATACACATAAATAATAGTAAATATTATACTTACTTTCCTGCGGCATTTACACTGACATTCGGTCTTTCAAATTTTGCCACCAAAAGAGATCTGAAAGGGTCTAATGGCTCTTCACCCCAATTCAGATGACCGTACGCATTGGGTTTCCAATCAATGGGCTCAGTTTCTATATCTTCATTGTCTTCTAGATCATCTTGGTGTTGCGGTTCAGAAAATGTTGGAGTGGCTTGTTGGTGGTTTTGTGATTGAGAAATAATTGGTTACTCGTTATTTAATGGTGTGTCATTCTGCCTAGGGTCCCGAAAAAGAATATATTGTGAAGGAGGTGGTTGTGGAGGCTGCCTTGTTTGCCCTATTTGTTTTGTGATTTTTTTGCCAAATATGTTAGAGGGTTGAAGTTGTGTTGAGTGGGGAAAGGATGGTGTTGTGAAGGGAGTTGAGCTCCTTCCAAGTAAAGAAGCGGACAGAGATGGTATCGAGAGGCTAGAAGGGTTAGAAGTGCCTGATACCTCTTGGTGTTGTGAAGGGAGTTGAGCTCCTTCCAAGTGTATAACATTTCTATCTGCTCATTTGAAAGAGTAAAAGGAGCTTTAGGAAATTTTCCTTGACTGTCTCTCTCCATATTTGGCCTATGACATATTTGTTCCATGTCCATTCTCCCATTACTATGGTCCTTCGATTTCCCCGATACACCCAAAATCGTATAAAAGAGATTCTCAAAGAAATTTTTCTCTATATGCATGATATCGAGGTTGTGCCTTATAAGCAGATCCTTCCAATACGGAAGATCCCAAAAGATACTAAGTTTCTTCCATCCTATGTCTTTTCCAACTATTTTATTGTGCTATGTACTGCCCAATTCAGTCACTCGCATTAAGGCACCTACCTCACCATAGCAATATGAACTATCTCGGTGTATCGGAGGCCCATGGAAGATTGATTTTCCCTTAGTAAAGTTTTCAGTATCTAATCGAAATGGATGATCATCTGGTAGGAACTTTCGGTGATTATCAAACCAACTATGCTTTTTGCTACGAGATAGCCAGAATGCCTCTGTAAACTCACTACAACATGGACGTGCAAACTTCCCCTTTGAGAATGAATCATATGTTACAGCACCAACCTGTCACAGTTCTTTCAACTCTTCAATTAGTGTTTGCAAATACACATCTATCCCTTTTGTTGGATTTCTTGGGCCTGGAACCAATATACTTAAAAATAGAAACTATTTTTTCACACACATACCTGGTGGCAAGTTGTATGGTGTAACGATTACAGGCCAACAAGAGTATTTCTGTCCAAATGGTTGAAACCCATCTGTACATAAACCAAGCCTAACATTTCTCGGATCTCCAACAAAATCAGAATGAATATTGTCAAACTGGATCCATGCTTTTGCATCCGACGGATGACGCATTACCCCTTCTTCTCTTTGGTGAACTTTATGCCACCTCATTTTCTCCGTTGTAGAATCGGATGCATAAAGTCTTTGTAGTCTAGGAGTAAGCGGGAAATACTCCATTCTTGCAAGTGGAATTAATTTTTTGTTTGCTTAGTGACCCTATATCGTGCACCACAGCAAAACTTACACTCCATTAGCTCACTGTCCCTTTTCCAGTAGATCATGCACCCCTTTGGACAACAATCAATAGTCTGGCTTCGCATTCCTAACAAAGATAGTTTCCTTTTTATTTTATTAAAATTTGGTATGGGCTTGTTTGGGATTTCAGTGGGGAAGAACCTGTTCACAAATTGAGCAATTCTATCTGTTGCAGCTTCAGATAAATTCATCTCAGTCTTTATGTTCAAAATTTCAATCATTGCGCTCAACTAAGTCATTGGACAACCATCAAAACATGGTTGACTAGTCATGTCCAGCATTTCGTACATTTTCTGTGCCGCTGCACTAGGCTCATCATCATGCACAGGAATACCATCTTCATTACATGTTGGAAGTTCATTCCTTACTGCATCCTCAAACATTGATTTGTACGGATCATACTGAACCTCAGATACATTGTCATGAGATGAGCTTGCGTGATCATGATAAACAAACCCATGTGAAGCATATGTCTCCCCATGTGCTCCCCATACATAGTAATCTTCAATGAAACCTTTCTCAAATAGATGTTGCTTAACAATATCCCAACTCAACCATTTTTTGTTCTTACATTTTCTACAAGGACATGCTATCACACCATTGGAGTATAAATTTACCGCTCGTTGAATGAACTCGTTAACACCTTCCTTAAAATCTTCATTTAGAAATCCCCATCTCTCAAGCCTTTCGTACATCCATGACCTAGTATTGCTCATGTTGAAATCTAAATATAAAAATTAATAAAACAAATTACATCTTATTTGAAGAAACTACTTAATTCAATATTTAAAATACTTATTTCTTTTTCATTCTTCAAAAAATTGCTATTATCAATATACGTAGTATATGTTACAAATAAAAACATCTTTAAATTTTCTATTCTAATTAATTAATAACAATTAAAAGTCAAATAACCAAAATGATTAACGTCATGCATATTTTCATTTTAATTTTTACGTATCTTATTAACAAATTCAAAAAATAGCAACATAACATATTTATTTATATATATGTATATATAAATAAAATTAAGTTTCACAGATATCCTAAATTCCTAATAAGCATGTATGTAGTCTCCTTTAATGGTCTCTTATTAAGTTTGGCTACAAATTTTTCTTCCGACCAATGTAGTGCAACTTAATTTTTAAATTATATTATTTATGTTTGAAGAAAAAATAAACAAAGAATTGAATAACATTCTTCTATTAATATAACTTAATTTAATCAACATATATGTCATGCACATGTAATTAATTTAATACGTGCATATATGTGAAATTGAATATATATAAATTTTTGAGAAAACTAACCTCTCTAATCAACCATAGCTTGAGATCTCCGATCCACCATAGTATGTACACGTACATTACTTTGCTCAAATGCAATAATAGAATTAGGGTCTGTTTGCAACAGCTTCTGCTTTTAAAAAAGTGTTTTTTTTAATGAAATGAGGAGAAGTGATTAAATAAAAGTTGATAGTGTTTGAGAAAAAAATGATTTTGAAAAGTAAAAGTGGGTAATGTTTGGTAAAATAAGTGCTTTTTATGTAATAGAAAAAGTAAAAACACTTTTGACGCGGAAGCCGAGATAAATAAAAGTTGTAGTGTTTGGGAAAATAAGTGCTTTTTTTAAAGCGAAAAACTGAGAAGTGTTTTTTTAGAAGCAGTTGCAAACCAACCCTTAGTAGATCCATCGATGTGCTGCAGATCAGATTTGTGTGTGGAAGATGGGGTATAGTTAATGAGTAGGTGGAGTTACATTTATTGTGTATTTTAGTGACAGAGTTTAATCACGGAAACTTTCCGTCACTATTTACTGACGGCATATATCAGCCGCTAAAATCTGTCACTATTTTGCGTCCGAGAGATTCCGTCAGTAATGCCGCTACTAATTACCGACGGACTTGAGTTAGACACTAATATCCGCCACTATTCTGCGGAATTCTTGTAGTGCAATATGTAGTAAAGTTTCCTTTGTCATCAATATTTAAATCATGGTAAATCTGTAAAAGTATAGTCTATGGTTACCAAATCTACGTAGGATTTCATGTTGCTAAAGTTATCAAATAATGTTGATTTCTATAAAACAATAAAAGATTTTAAAAATTACTCCGCAATAAACAATTGTTATATATGATGACATGGCAGAGTTATGTGACGCATTGTATGCTCTTAAAAAGTTCCTCACTACAAAAAAACAGCGTTATAGTCACGGATTTTAGTCACGGATTTGGTCCGTGACTAGTTTTTTCACGGACTAGTCACGGACTAGTCACGGATATTTAAAAAATAAATTAGTCACGGATCCGGCCGTGACTATGACCGTGACTAAGTTTAGTCACGGTCAGATCCGTGACGAAAATGGTCCGATAGCTCCGATTCCGTTTCCGGCGGGGTTTGTTTTACACCGGCGACTTAGTCACGGACACATCCGTGACTAAATCTGTGTCTACTAAAAAAATTTAATTTTCCAGCGCTCAGAAATTAATTCCCAACGGTATTCTGTACGGATAAATTTAGTCACGGAAATGTCTGTGACTAATTCCGTGACTAAATTTATTCGCACGCGTACTTTACACGTCATTTACACGGTTTGGACGCGTAATGTACACGGTTTTGCGTAGTGACGGACAAATCCGTGACTAAGTCCGTGACTAAATTTTTTATATATGCAGGAGCAGCTCATTCAACAGAACCACACCAATTCATTCCCAGTATATAATACAG